CACCTTGGATAAGGGGGCCAAGCTTTGCAATCTTGGGCCTCTAAGTCAACAGGTGGATGAGGATAATTGAATCAGATGTGTCTGGAGTCTGAGGCCCGGAGATCAAAGCAGTGGCAAGTCAGGCCAGAGCTACACACACACACACATGCAGAGGCGCACACACACTCAGAAGAAAATGAGAACACCATGTAGAGCCTCAAAAGCTGCAGCTCGGCTGATTAAAGCAGCCTGACATCCATACCCCCGCCTGACCTCCAGGTGCAGAGCCAGTGGGCCTGGGTCTCAGCCTCGGGCACCCTCAGGAAGGCAGTCTGACCTTGGGGGACAAACATCTCTGCCCCTGCACCTAAAGCCACCTGGAGGCAAGATCAGTGGAGACCGTTTGGCCTGTGAGCGAGACACGCGAGGCGTTTTTACCGGAATCAATGGCTGACTGTTGTAAAAAGCAAAGACAATGTTATTGTCGCACTCAAAAAAAAGAAAGGGAGGGAGAGAGGAAAGGGGGGTTAAAAGATTTCATATGTGGACAAAAAGCACACACATGGAGGACAGAAGTCAGAGACAAGAGGAAAACAAGGAAAGAAAGAAAGCCTTAAAGAGGCTGCTAACAATGAGGAGGGTAATATAAATAGATAAGGCCAGAATTAAACTTTAGCAGTGAACCTGAGACGAGAAGTGCTAATCAAAAACATGTCAAAACCCCAACCACTGTTATCGTTATCACAATCTGTCCCTTTTGGCATCAGAAGATGGAGAGTACGTGTCACCAAAGCTGTTTCCTATCATCTGTTCCCGACACCCGCTGACTGCTCTAGCTTCACAACAGCATTCCTCTGCCCGAATAGCTGCCATAGACAAAGCAGTGGCTCTATCTTGTGGCTAAATAAGGAACAGCATAACAACACTGGAATGCATGGTGGAATTCGCTCGGGGCATTTCAGCCTAATAAGGATAGATGATGTTTAAACAACACGCACACATAACAACACATGCACTCCTGATTGAAATAGAAATAATAACTCAAAACATCTTTAAATCCACCCATCTTTTCCTGGTTATCTGGAAACTTGAATTGGACCATTACACAAGCTAAAATAAGCCCTGTCCATCACCTGACTAATGGCGAGAGAGACAGAGATCAAACGTTGCCACATCATAGGGAGTCAGACGAGTTCCTTCCATTTAATCTTATCTAAATGAGAGAGACACATAAAAGGACTCTTGGCCCGGCTAATTTTCTTCATCAGGACGTTAGCCTGTGATCTGAGCGTCTTTCATGGTTTGATCCGAATCACTCTGCTGTGCTTAAAACCTCTCTATCCTCACCCTATAAAGCACAGGGGAGGAAGGGAAGTCCCATGTTTCAAATTGAAAGACTCTTTTGGTTGAAAAAAAAAAAAAGGGTCAGTAATAATGTCACAACTATCTCACTGCTAGAAACCTATTATTTATGAAACTATAAAAATAAAAGCATAATCATGTTTATTTAACACTCAAGTGTGTTAAGCATGCTGCCATTTTGAATGTAGTCACTTTTAATGGAAGGAAGTGAAAAAATTGATTTTTAATTTGTTCTGGGACACAGGCTAGATAATGTGAGTTAAAAAGTGTGAGAAATATTTTAACACTAGTTCTAATGATGAGTTTCTAAGAATCAAATATTCTATAACACCGAGAGTACGAATTTGAATTTCATTTGGCAGCAGACGGCATGTTCTCTTTTATTACACAGTGCCCTGGTGGATATTAAGCTCTCTTTACATTTACAGCGCTCTCTTTTTAATATGCTAATGAGCATTTCAAGCCACTGGGCTCCGGTTTGCCTTTCCCTGTTAATTAGAATGAAAAACCCTGAGCCATTACCAACATCACTTTGTCAAGCGCCTGCACCGCCTGCAGTCAGAGGAAATATCCCTGAGCCAACTAGGATGATTTAGGGAAGAATGTTAAAAAGTGTTCAAATGTGTGTGTGTGCACACGATTATATGCGTTTTTTATATTCATTCGTGCATGTGTGCCTGAGTAGCACTTTGAGTCAAGTGTTTTTTAAATGAAGCAGTACATTTTTTAATCCAAAAATACTATTTAGCAGCTCATACAAGAATAGAAACAAGATAATGAGCTATCCTTATTCTCTGTGTTCCCCTCTCCTCTGTGGGGGTTTCACCTCAGGTTCAACAACTAGGACACTTTAAAGAAGAAAATAACAGAGATATGGAAATAGAATAGAAGCGGTTCTCACCCTCTCATGCTGTTTTGACATGGATTACTATGAAAAGTCAGAATGGACAGTTGAAGCAGACTGATGCAAGAACTAGGCAACGTCTTCGCTTTTTCAGATAGTGCTGCAGAGCAAATACGATCAGTCACGTAAGCTGTGTGTATTCAGCTTCAAAGTCGAGCTCAATTTCCGTATAAAACAACATTGAGTACTTAGATAAATATTATATGTGTCATATGTAGCATCTTTTATATCTGTTCAAAGTGTGAAGTGCTGTTAAGTCACCAGCTGGAGAGCTATTTTAAATACACTTTAGTTGTGCAGGAACTACAAACCGTACTGGAATGGGGACGTTTTAAATGTGCCAGGACCTCTCACTGCAATTGTGATAAATTCCACTTAAAAAACTAATATTGCTGATAACTGATTGAAGTGATGAGATGATATAATGGAGCCATTGTTTGGAGCCAACTGTCGCTCTGCTTCTCACCGTTAGAAGGGACTCCAGACTGCAATCTGCTTCACTAATGAATTGAAGAATTACATGAATCACCTAATAAAAGGTTACTTCTACCTGTAGGCTGTACTGTCATCCAACTGGCATGTGTGCTACCGACAGCCAGGGCTGCTCGATTATGGCAAAAAACACAATTATTTTGGTCAATAATTGATATCACGATTATTAAATACGATTATTCATTGGCTTTGAAAACATCCATTTATTGAACTTTAAAACAAATACAAATAATAATTTGAACAGTATCTTTTTAACTGTTGATTACCCTGAACGTATAATTCAACTGAAAAACCAATACAAAAATAAATAAAATAAATGATACATTTATATTTAAATTTAAATAAATAATATCAAAATAATAAATACCAATAAAGAAGATCAACGAATATTTTGGAGCGCACTTCCACAAGCTGCTAAACATATATTAATATGATAAATACAAATAAATTAGACCAAAATAAATTAGATTAAATATGTTGCAGTGCACTGTCACAACCTAGCAAAGCAAAATAATCGTTTTTTTTCGATTATGTTGTTTTCGTAATTGTGGCAGGCCAAAATAGTAATTGCGATTAAAATACGATTAATTGCACAGCCCTACCGACGGCAGCCTATTTGTATTACTCTACTCAATAAAATTGAAAGAAGGTTATTATGATCCGGAAACATAACGTAGACGTTGCACCATCTGTTTTAAAAGGATGATAGGCTTTCATGGATGTGTTGAAACAAATACCAATTGTTTGGTACCAAACAGGTGACAAGTACGCATCTTTGGTCCACACATCCTTTCAGTTTACAATTCCATACGATGAATGATGAGTTTCAAAAGAGGCACGATATTTCTTAAAGGCTCAATATGTGTTAAAATACAATTCAGTATTGTGGCATTCCAATAGTACTCTACAGGCTTAACAAAACATAAATATTTGGTCATCTGCAAATCACACAATGATCCTTTTACATTTATTTTTCAATGATGAGAAAATAATAATGCAAAGATGACGAATCCCTCCCATACTTAAATTCCAATATCTGTCAAAATAATTTCAATTAGTGATTTTTTCCCAATGGTGCAGCCCTAGTGGAACAGTACCTGTTACGAGCTGTGATGGGTGTGGAGCTGGTTCTGTCCTTCAGCAGACTGGCAGCCAAAGAGTCATCAGTGTGGCCTCCAAGCTCTCCTGTCAACCAATCAGGCAGCTCCGCTCTGCTGTGACCGCGCAGAGGTTCATCAAAGTAGATCGACTTGGATGCAAATGAAAAGACATCAGATGAAAACTAGGTTAAATAAGCCAATAAGTATTTGCAATCTGTTGCAATTGTATTCAATGAGTTGCAAACTGCATGAGATTTAAGCAGATTAAATGAAACCATTGAAAATACAAGCTTTTTGAAGTTCAATATTTTCAATGAAGAATAAGCTCAACTTTATGTTTTATTTAGCACCTTTCATTCAAACATGCTGCCAAAAGTGCTTGACAAAACAAGGGGAAAAAAATAAACTACATACTTATTACATACTACATACCTATAATTTCTTATGATGTCTATTCTAGAATGGGAGCAACAGTAATTTAGGGATCATTAAGGTTCCTGATAATGGTTGTGAAATGAGATTCTAATTAAGCCAGTTTAAAATCACTCCCAAGAATGTGATCTTTGATTTGATCCCAAACATTGGGTGCCATTTTTGTCTTGCTGCTTTTTCTTCGTTAAGATCAGAAAGACAGGCAATGTGGACATGGAGTGAGTCTTACTACAGCAGCCGAGCTGACGGCAATACAGCAATTATTTTTGTTTCAATGATGCAGTAACTCGAGTCTTACCATGTAGGTAGGGAGTGTCTTGAGGCTGCCAGGCTCTGGTTTGCAGGTGAAAGGCCGATCCAGGGCCCCTCTTTTGAGCATTTGAAGGAGCAAACGGGCATGCATGTTGCGGTTCTTACGACCGGTCAAACCTGAACCACAGCTGGCCGGGTCACACAGCTTCTTTATCCATGTGACACATCGCTGCCGCTCTGTGGTCAATGAGAGAGAAAGAGGGACAGAGGCAACAATGCCACAGGTAAGTAAATACATAAATATCTGTTAGATATTCAACTTCTTCCTGGGAATTGTCTTATGACATACATTTGCTTAGAAAAGTACAAAAAAGAGCCAATCATTAAGTTTGCATTATCAGCAGAGGTGGAAGAAGTACTTAGATCCTGTACTTAAATAAAATTAGAACAACCAACATGTTGGAATACTCTGTTAAGTAAAAGTTGTGCAATCAAAATGTTACTCAAGAAAAGTCATAAAGTATTAGCATCAAAATATACTTAAAGTACCAAAAGTAAAAGTATTAATTATGCAGATCGGCCAATTTCAGAATAATGTTAATGTTATGATTTGATTATAATTATTAATGCATTCATGATTAGAGGGTTATTAAAGATGGTAAAGATACACCTAATTGTAACACAATTTTGCAAAGTTACATTTGCAAAGTTACTTAAGGTATTAAATAAATGAAAGGTACACAATTTACCTCTGAATTGTAGTGGGGTAGAAGTACAAAGTAGCAACACATACATTCTCAAGTAAAGTGCAGGTCTCCACAAAATTGTACTTCAGTACAGTACTTGACTAAATCTTCTTAGTTACTTTACACCACTGATCATCAGTGATGTTTACACTTTGTGTAGTGAAGTGAAAAGAGATGAAATGTAATCTCACCTGTCTTGCTGGGGTGTTTAAGGACATATGGCTTCATGTCAAGCAGAAAATGGTCAAACTCAGTATCCAGCCATTCCCATGAGTCCTCATATTTGCTCATGGTGTCCTGAGGAGGAAATATGTAAACAAGAGTTAATACAAGTAACTCAACAATACGTTACTAACTTAGGTAGCGATGCATTTGTTAGCTAGATACATGGGATTGTTAGCAGCAAAACAGAGTGGAGATATAGCTAGTTAAAAGACGGGTATGTTAACATCTTGTCCCTTAATTATAGCACAAGGTAACATGACAACCACTTAATCACTAGTGTTGACAAACTAGCTAACGTTAACACATCTTAGTTATTGAGGCAGTGATGCATTAGCAAACAGGCTAAAGCAAAGCCGTAAACCGCTTGTGTGGTGAGGTTTTGTCCAACCTCTGGGAACGGATACACGAAACGCTAAGGATGGCACATTGTTTATGATAATGTTTAGTAAGGAGTAAAAAACGACTTACTTTTAACACTGATTTAGCCGCTCAAAATGGTTCAAAAACGTTAGCGTCCTCACTTTACGCCACATCCGGTTTCCGTGGAGACACAGCGTCTCCTTGTTACCATAGAAACTGCACCACTTTTTAATTTTACTCTCCCCATGTGTGTCCTGTTGAAGCTAGTTTTTTTTTACTGTTAGTTATTTCTTGAAATGACTAGTTTTACGGCAAATTAGACGACACTATGCTATTCCTGCCAAACACATTAAGCTTTTTGATTTGCCCGTTTAAACAAAAAAAGACTCAACTCTAAGCCCCTGCAACATTAAATCCATACAGATGAATAGTTATAGTTGCTTCTCTGAGTCTGTTGTCCATCTGATACCTGAGATGACTCTTCAGCATGTTCAAAACACGCAATGCCGTTTAGGTCCACAAGATGGCGCCCATCAGCCTTCAGTTTGTGGGATGGTCAGCAACGGATGGATGAAATTGACGACTTGGTTTAATTGTCACTGAAATATATAAAGCCTACATATAGCATTTTTTGTATGACACCTCACAAAATATACCAATCTATTAGACAACTTACTGAACCCTCATGATGTGTTTAGGTGCAACAAACTTGATACACCCTTATGTGGTTAATTGTGCTTTGTAATTGAAGGGGAATGTTCCCACAGCACGTGAAGGCAGACTTCATCGACGTCACTTTGAATGAAAAATAAGCGCTCAGCTGTGGAGCAGTCAGAGGGAGGCGTGCGGTCTGTCAGCCTGCACACACACCAGAGCTGTGTCGAGACAAGGACTCCACATAAATCGGTCGGGTAAACAAGTTGTGGTTGTGCAGTTTTTGTTTTGCTTGACCCCCATTATGGCTGACCATCTTCTACATTACAATGACTCGGCTAGTGTTGGGAACCGATTCGCCCGCAAAGGTGCTTTGCGGCAGAAAAACGTGTATGAAGTGAAAAACCACAAATTTACTGCGAGGTTTTTCAAGCAGCCGACGTTCTGCAGCCATTGTAAAGACTTCATATGGTAAGCATCCATAAAACACTGTCTTGCCATTTTTAACTATTAGGAATGCTTTGAGATTCTTTAAGTTTAACGGTAACAACCGTCATGTTATTCGAGTATGCAGAAAACTGAAAGTTCTTTTTTTGAAGGCTGTAGACAGATCACAATTAGTTTCAAATTACTGACCAGTTGAAATGGAATTTGTTGCTGAACAATGCCCATCTAATATTACTTTTTGATTTGTGTTGCAGGGGATTTGGAAAACAAGGATTTCAATGCCAAGGTAAACCACTTGCATGTGTATTTTGGTACATTTGTTACCAGCAGATTCAGATACCAGTGAAGCAGGATGTCACAATTTGGCTTTTTAACCAAACAGTATCCCTGAACATATCAGAAAAGTTGAGGGTGCTCGATAAACAGTTGTCTTGTTTAATACATTTTCTTTTTAAATATACACTCTCAATTTAGCCATCTGATAGGGTGTCAAGTGATTTCAAGAGGAAAAACTGGAGGATGCATATCAAATCAGACATGAAAATAGAGCCCACACAGCAAGAAATGTAAAGTTTTAAAAGTTGTATTTTGTTTCTTTGGGAGGACATCACATTCTGCAAGCATGAAAGCAGGTGTTAATATTTGAAAGACAGTCATCTTTGAAATGTCAAGGTCTCAAACATGTACCTGCAACTTCCAATTCAAAAATCCATGTTGGTTACCATTTGGTCCTGAAAGGGAAACGTTAGTTATCAGGTATTGGTTTAAACAGGCATTTAGGAGAATGAAGTTTGAAGCTGTGCACATACCTTGGAGAGTACCTGGTGTTGGATTGTTGATACTTTGCTCGCTGGTAGCTGTTTCTGGACTGGTTTATATAGCTTTGAGCGAATGGTTCACTCACTCTCTGGGGAGCAAACGCTATTCTGGGGCTAAAAACTGGTTTTGGCATCTTTCCATAATTTAGCTTTGCAGGTTTGGCTCTTTCATTGGTTGGGTTATTGGGGAATGAGGGCCCTTTTGGTGGTGGAGCAGATCCTGTTGAAGTCCCCTGGCCCGCAACTAGACCATACCCTCCTGCAGTATTGGAAGTATCAATATTCTCAGATGGATATTGAAAGACGTCTTCAAATACAAGATGAGGGATGTTCATTGAGCCACTTTCACGGGAGCCAAGGTTGATGTTAGCCAAACTAGAACCATTGCTTGCTGGCTTAGGCTGCCACGACTCAACGCTTGGAATCTTTACAACATTGGATTTGGAAGAT